GAAGGACGTCCGGGGCCCGCGCTCGCCACTGCAGCCCGCCGAAGCTCGCGCCGGGCCCGCGGAGACCGGCCTCCCTCCCTCGCCCTCCGGAGAGCCCGCCGCCCCGACCAGGCGAGAGGGAGGGCGCAACTTCCCGGGCCGTTTAGACGAAAACGTGACAAATACGGGGAGGAGGAGGGGCCCCAGCGGGGCCGGGAGCGCAGAGCCCAGAGGACAGGACTGCGGCTCCGGACGCCGCTCCCTCCGGGCTCGCCGGCTCCCTAACTTCCGGAGAGGCTGCCGCGGAGCCACCTGCGCAGCTGGGAGCGGCTTAGCTCGGGCCAGAGGTGTGGCCAGACCGAGGAGGGGTGAAGGGAAGGGACCAGGGCAGCGGCGAGACGCAGGCAGCGCTGGCCGGACACTCACGCGTGGCGGCTGGACAGGTAGCGGAGCTGGGTCGAGCCCAGGCCCCCGGCAGGGACGCTGAGGCCGTAGAACCGGTGTTCCAGGCTTATCACCAGGGCGCCCCAGGCCGGGGCCAGGGCTGCGGGGTGCCCTATGGAGCGCGCAGGGCGAGCTGGGTCCAAGGCCCGGCCTCTCAGGCCCGCGATTTGCACATGCAGCCGCCTGACCCTTACCTGCCGTCACGGAGCCGGGGCCCAGGCTGCCCTCGCCCCCCAGGTGCAGGAAGACGGGCGCGTCCCGGCCAGCCCAGTGCCGGTCGTTCACCCAGTACCGCTGCGGGTGGAAGGGGGGGCCCGGTCAGCGGCGGTCACCCCTGCTGCGTCCCTGTTCCCAGGCTCGCTAGATCTTTCCCACGGGCGGGGTAGTGTCGGGTGGCTCCTGTAAGTGTGTGCTCATTTCTCCCGAGTGAGGTCCTCCCCCAAAGGCAGGTGTTTTGGGTCTGCGTCTTCCTTCTGCACTTCCAGGCTGGGGGGTGTCTGACGGCTGGGGAATTTAGGGACCCGGCCCATAGGGGAAGGCCTTCGAGCGCGTCTGCAGAGCGACACTGAAAGGCGGCAAGTTCGTTCTTCCCCCAGGGAGAGCGTTCCATTGCCCGCTGCGATCGGATTCTCACTAGTGTGCAGACCAGGTGGTGGGCTTGGGGCGGATCTGAAGGGCGGCGAGGAGACAGCAGGGAAGCCCAGCCAGAGGGAAGTGAGCAGTGAGGGGCGGGCGGGGCAGAGCGGGCCCGGAAAGCGCGGAGAGAGGGCGAGCTACGCAGTGGAGCGGACGGGATGCCGACTGCAGACAGCGGGGACCCTGAGGTGCAGGGAGGGACGCGGGAGCCGAGGTCTCACCTGCAGGAAGGTGCGGCCGTCAGACGAGTTGAAGGGATCCAGCGGCTGCTGTAGCCACCCCGCCCGGGGGCCCAGGCCCGGCCCCTCGCCGCCCTGCAGCCGCCGGACGCGCTCGCGCAGGCGCCGGAGGAGCAATGCAGCTGGGCCGGCCGGGGCAGAGGGGGTCAGGCCGGCGGGGGACCCTGCGGCCCGCAGCGCCTGTGCCCCCTGAACCTGGAGCCCGCAGAGCGAGGCCAGGAGCAGGGCGCACAGCCCGGGGACCCCGGCCATTCCGCCGCCCTGCGGTCCCCTGCGGGCTCCGGGACTTTATTGCGGCCCCGCCCGGCTCCAGCTCAGCCAGGCAGCGGAGGCTCGGGTTTCTTCCGACGCCTCGCAGGTCAGGCGTCTGTAGGAATCGCGACAGCGGGACAGGACGCCAGCGTCTGCACCCCGTCTCTGCACCGGGCCCCCCTCCCCGTCTGTCCTGGGCCTCAGCCCCGCTGGGGTCTGCCCGGCCCGCCCCGGGGGTCCCGTCCTAAGCGCCGGTCTCGGCACTATCGCCTCGGGGGATCTCCCTGCCGCGCCATCTCTGTCCTCTGGTCCCTCGGCCTCTTCCTGTCCAGCCCACTTCCGGATCCCAGTGCCCACTTCCTGGGCGGCTGGTGTTTCTCCAGGAACCTGGGGTCCCCCAGGTCCCCCTGCCTCCGTGGCACCTCTGATGTCTGTTCAGAAAGGTCTTCCATGGTCAGAGTTTTCAAAGTGTCAAAGTGGCCCTCTCTTCCTTCTCTAACTTTATTCTGTATGCCTTTGCAAGGCCGTTGTCACTATGGGGAGTGTTCTGTGCGTTTTTAAATTTATGTGGTCATTGTCTGCCTCTTTTACCAGATAGTGAGTGCCTTGACAATGGGGACTGTCATCTCTTTTGTCCAACAGTTTGCCAACCAGCTCCTAAAACTGTGGACACAGTGGGCAATCGATAAATATTTGCCGAGTGAATGAGTAATCTATCAAGTAGCCCTGCGAATTTTACTGTAAAAATACGCACAAACTTGATGGCTTTCCCCCGCCTCCAGTGCTGCCAGTTCTAAGCCACTGCCATCTGGGTGTTTGCTTGTATGTTGTTTGCTTGTTTGTTTTGAGACAGGGTCTCGCCGCGTAGTTCAGACTGGCCTTGAACCCGTGGCAATCCTCCTGCTTCAGGCGTGTGCCACCATACCCAGTTGCCACCCTCATCTTGGACTTGGAAGACCCTAGGCGCCCCGTGAATTGTCTTCCTGTTCAGCTCAGGCCTGCCCCAAAACTCTTCCTGTCTCTTTGCAGTCACGCCTCTCCCCAGACAACTGCTAGTCTTCCTATGGATTTACCTGCTTTGTGGGCCACACCACCTTGAATGCTCTCGCTTTCATCTAATCTTGGATTTACCTGCTTTGGACACTTGAGATATGGTACTAAGACTAGGTCTTTCACATTGAGCTGTATCCCCAGCCACTTTTATTCTAAGAAGGATCACACCAAGTTTTGAGTGCTGAGTTGAAACTTGTGATCCTCCTGCCTCTGCCTTGCAGAGTGCTGGGATTACAGGTTGAATCACCACACTAGATGAATGTGTGCTTTTTTATGTTTGGCTTTTTTCCACTTTGCATAATGTTTTTGAGGTTCATTGATATTGTAACAGGTATTACTTTATTTTTTATGCTGAATATTTTAGTGCATGACATATGTCATTATGACATTTTATTTATCTATGATTAGTTGATGGACATTTGAATTATTCTGACTTTTTTCTATTGTGAATAATGTTGCTATGATCTTATATGTACAGGACTTTATGTAAAACTATGTTTTTGTTTCCCTGTATATGTGGAGTTGCTGGATTATATATTAAAATTGTCTATAAATTTCTCTTTGTTTTTTGACAGTGTCTCACTATATAGTTCAGGCTGGCCTTGAACTCAGGGCAGTGCCCTGCCTCAGCCTCCTGACTGCCCCACCTCAGCCTCCTGAGTGCTGAGATTATAGGTGTACGCCACCATGCCTGGCTATATGTAACTTTTTAATAAATTGCTGAGCTGTTTTCCAAAGTGGCTGTACTCTGTCACGGCTTAGACTTTGGAAACCTGACACAAACAGGTAGGAAGGCCACACCTTCACATGTGGACCCACTGGGCCAGTGAAACCTGAGACAGCAGGAAAGTATGGAGTGGACAGTCAGAAGTGGCTGACTGTCCTCAGGTGGAAATGGACCTGTTCGCTGCAGGCTGTGCCTGCGCTGAGTTCAGCGGGTCACACTCACCATGGGCACGGTCATGAGGTGGCTTAGGAGGGGCCAAAATTTCCTTGGATTTCCAGTCAGACCCTGCAGGTGTGAAAGCACCTGATGACCTCTGTGAAGCTCATAAGCTAAGTTGTAGAACCACTTCGGTTGTTTGTGTTGAAAACATCTCATCATTTTTGTTGAGGGTTTAATGAGGCAAGGAGGGCATCTTCTGCAGCCAAAGACCACAGGAAGGCCGGTGGGTGGTGGAATGACTGAATAATTTAGTTGGGCTAAATGTGGTCCTGACAAGCGGGAAGTTTCAAGCTTGCTTCCAGCGCTTGTGTGGGTCTTGCTCCTCTGAGCTGGTGTAGTGGATGCCCTCTCTCGACCTTAGCTGTGAAAGGAGGGAGTAAGGACGTGCAGGAGTTGGAAGCTCACCCCGAGTGAATTTGCTCTTTCACCATTCACAGCCCATGTCCTTCGTAGGCAGGGAGCGTGGTGTGTCCATGCATTTGGGCCCTCAGTACCTCAACCTGTGCATTGGTGACAGGAGCAGATCCTTCAGTCAGTCTGCAAATTACTGTCGCCTTTTGTTTTGTGTGTTTCCAAGAGACCCGGATTTCCTCCCAGCTCCTCTGCACCCTGCTAGAGGGTGGGAAGCCACAGCTGCAGCACACAAAAAAAGAGACCCAACTGTCTAAAGCAACAGTCCCCACAGCCTGCCGTCCTGTGGAACATTTTTCCAGGGTGGCCCACTCTCCCCTTCTGCGTAGAAGCTGCTGCATTCCTCTCCAAAGCCTCTGCATCCTGGAAGGGACTTGAATCCAGGCAAATTCTTGAAAGAGAAGAGCTTTCAGACACGAGAACACGGAGCTCCCTTCTAGCTAAACCGGTTAGGCGAACAGGCCAGGGAGGCAGGTCAGTTCACATGGGGCAAAGAGTCCGATATATCCCGGAGAACGTCAGCGATACAACATGTAACGTACATTTCACATTCGTGTATACGCCGTGTACATACAAATAAAAAACGTGCAGTTCCTGATTTGCATCTTTTTTAGTACAAGCCAGTGACCTGGAAAGGAATCTGGACTCAAAAGATAAGCCCTGGAATCCGTCTGCAGTGCCTGCCAGGCGGGCCCCTGTGCGGGAAGGACTGGAGTGGGAGCAGGGGCAGGGGTGGATCGGCGGCCAGGGTGTGAGGAACCGGAACTGGAGTGAGTGCCCCGCGGGCCAGAGGGCCCCGTGCCCCTCTTTGGCTCACCATTTCCTCCAGCTCTGAATATTACTGAATATATATGTACATGGCGTATACATGACTGTGAAATGTACGTTACATGGTGCATTGTTGACATTCTGCGGGATATATCCGACTCTGCCCCACGTGAACTGATCTGCCTCCCTGGCCTGTTCGCTGTAACAGGTTTAGCTAGAAGGGAGCTCCGTGTTCTCGTGTCTGAAAGCTCTTCGCTGGCAGGGCCGGCCGCTCTTTCCCTCCAGATCATACACGATCAGAAATCCTCGCAAGCCTTTCTCTGCACCGCTGCGCTTCCTAGGCCCGTCCATGCAGATAGCTAGTAGGTTCCTTGTTTTGCTGAGATTTTATTTCTCTCCCTCTGCGCTCAACCCGCAGGTACAAATGCGAACTTGTTTCCCTGCCGACTCCAGGGCGCTTGGGCTGCTTGAGGAGGGTGCAGCCAGGAGCCGGTGCGGCTGTCGGGGAGGAGGGGCGCGTGGGGCCGGGCCCCTCTACTCCTACCGGTCCACTTGCGTGGACGCAGAAGGCGGCTCCTCGCGAGGACCTCGTCCCTGAGGCGGAACAGGAGGACGGCAGGAGGCAGGGCAGGGTGAGGTGACAGACGGATGAATCTTCTGGAAAGAGAACAGCTTGCTTTAAACCACTCCGAGGCTGTGATCAATCTTCCTACATTAGAAAACAGACGCTTTCCTAAGTGGCCGGTTAGCTCAGTTGGTTAGAGCGTGGTGCTAATAACGCCAAGGTCGCGGGTTCGATCCCCGTACGGGCCAACGTAGGTTTTACCTTGCGAATGAGAAGGCTAAGGCGGGCTCCGCCCTTCCTGCGAGCGGGGAATGGCTCCTCCCAGGTCTCTGATACACCCACGGCTCCGTTTTTTCATTAAACTTTCATTTTCCTTCAGTAGCTTTATCTGCTATTCCTCTAGCACACGGGGGCAGGCCACATCCGAGTGTTTTGGGCACTATTTCCTCTGTCTGAAAGGCACCCCTGGGCTAATTTCTTTCCTTCAGATTTTGGCTCAAATATCACCAGTATTTTCTCTCCGACAGAAGATCAAACTTGACCCTAATGTCCACCCCTAACAATTGTTCTCCTTAGTATTTATCACATGATCTAATATTTTAGAAATATCTTACTTTAAAAAAATTCTGTAATCTTCCCAATAGGAAAGAGAAGCGATTCTTTTCTGTTTGGTTTGCAAATATCATCCTAGTGCTTAGCATCACACGCACAGAACACGTCTGTAAGGATCCATTGAATGAATGAGAGATGAACTCTTTTTTTGAGACAGTGTCTTGCTGTGTAGTGCAGGCGAACCTCGAACTCAAATCGACCCTCCTGCCTCAGGCTCTGGACTGTTGGGATTACAGGCATGCGCCACCAATCCCGGCCAGAATCTGCAACTTTAATTCACGCCCTCCCCACCAAGTGATGTGACAAAGGCCCCTGCCCAGAGTAGAAACCCCAACCCCCTACCCCAGACACGGTCCTGGGAGCCAGAAGTGAATAAAGCGCTGGGCGTGACCGTCCTTTGGGAAGGCCCAAGGGAGAAAGAGCCCCGCCCGTGGGCCAGGGCCGCAGGAGCTGGGCCCCTGCTCTGCAAACACAGGGTAACCTGTGTTACCCACCACCACCTCCCTGGACTGGAAAACCCACGCAGTCCTGGGCGGGAGGGCACCGAAGAGGCCTTCAGCGTGGAGTCCTGAGGGGTGCGGCGGGTGGGTGGTTGTCTCTATACGCTTGTGAAGGAAGAGGCAAGTCAGGGAGGCAGGGGCTCTC